CCACCCCAGTCATCTGAACTAAACCCTATAGAAAATGAGTGGGGTGAACTGAAGAGGAGAAGCACCAGCATGGACCTGTTACTCTGAAGGCTCTGGAGTGACTCTAGATGAGGGAATGGTCTCTGATCTCTTGTCAGGTGTTCTCCAGGCATTATAGGTGAAGATTCAGAGCTGTTATCTTGGAGGTTTCAAAACGTATTGAACAAAAGGGTATCAACAATTGTGGCCAATGCGTATTTGAGAAACACATTTATTTCATAATGAGATTGTCCCCCCATTTTAAATTGTTTTATTTCAGTGAAAGGATAGGTTTTTGTGAATTTTTTTGATTAAAAGATCAAAAGGATTAAAAATGCAGATTTATTTTCACAAGCTGCTTTGTTCATATTTACTAAGGGTTTCAATAATTCTGGCCATGACTGTAGGTTTCTGAACAACTTGAATGAATGTGAGTAAATGATGACATAATTTTCATTTAAAATTTGAATCAAACTGTTCTAACTGTTCAGAATTATCAGCTCTTCTGTTTTTATGACAGTCAAGATCGTCTTGCTTAATTCCACCTATTATGGTTTGTTATTACCTAACCAGTAGTTAGAAATTTACAAAATTACAGCGATATCAAATCTTAACTCTGTGGAGCTGTGGGTTCATATATTAAACTTGTAATGGAAGTTTAAATTGCTGGAGACTTTTTTTATTTTCAGTAGGAGTGTCTTTATTTACCTGTTAGAGACGTGGACACTTTATCACATAATGTGGGTCATGGAAGGAATGACTCGGCACCTTAGTGCAGTAACGGAATTTCCTTTGAAACTCCCCCTATCCCACTTCACATCCACTCATTTCTTACTGAGGTCAGGAATGTTGTTTCTGTTCATAATCCCACATCTCTTGTCATTCTTAGCTGACGGGATTTCTCAAGGTTGACCAGATGTAATCTTTTGGTCCACATTCGTTTTTACAAAAGCTGTTACTTGGAATCCTGAGGATTGTGGCGTGGCATTCAATTAACCGTTACTTTGTCAGAGTATTGAAGCATGTAATGAACTGAATTCTGGTCACCAAGGACTTTAGAAGTTCATGTTTGTGGTGAAAATTGTTGGTAAAGCTAATTTAAAGCCAGCAAAACCTTGTTTTTCATGCACATACAGGCATGTTTATGTCCATTTAAAGCCACAATTCTTACAAGATACCAGATTTTAGCATCTTCCTCATATATTGACTTCATGGTCCTTCTGTCTGGATTTAATTAGAATGCTTCACTGGCTTTTTCTCTTGCCCCTTGGTCCTTTGAGGACGGCCCTTAACCAGGATGCTACGGAGGGAGGGCTTTTCTTTGTGCACAAAGACTCTTGAAGCAGTCACCACCTGACCTCAGTTTCTCACAAACAACACGACCAGCCCTGAGAAGTGCTTTGTCTTTGTCGATTATCTCAAGGCTATGCCTATTTTTGGATCCGTTCTAATATGTCACTGTTTTCCATCTCACAGTGATGCAAGTAATATTATAAAGGGCACTGTGGAGTTCCGTTGCATCACCGATAATAAGACATTTACAAGTTACTTAATGATCTCACTACAAACTATAAAGATTTCATATCAAGTCAGAACATGTCAGTTGGTTAGAGTAAATTGACTTTAACCTAGGAATGAGTGTACATTAGCATTCCTGAGAGCGCTCCAGCCACAGTTATATTTTTATGTCAGCAATTCATTTGAAGTAAATTTATAGGAGGAGGCAAAAAAAAAAGATCTACTCCGGATATGGGCAAAACCAAAGTGTGCCATCTACATTTTAAAACAGACACACAGCAGAAAATGAGGCCTTCTTGTGGCTCGGCTGTGTTTAGCTTGGACTCAGTCATGCAGCGCTAGTAAAGGCGAGTGGGCTGGTTTTATTTTTAGGCTGTATAGGAAAGGTGTGTCTTTGTGAGCAAAGGCATGTGATCAGGGCAACTGAATTCTCTCAACTCTCTCTGAAGAGCAAAATTGTTTTGCTTCATTCATTTCTTTTGCTCTTTACTTATATTGTAGTTTGAATTAAATTACTCACACTGCATAATTTATCCAAGGTTACAAACATAAAAATATTATATTATATTATATTATATTATACATAAAAATATTATATTATATTATATTATATTATATTATATTATATTGATCTATGCCTTAAACATCTAATCTGACTAATTATATAATGACATTTTGTTTTTTTTGTGTATTTTGTTTCCATTGAGGCAAATATGACCTGTTGATCTATTATTTCATACATACAAGCAAAACAGCCAATTTAAATGTGTTTTAACAAACAATTTTACTGTTATTATGATTATTATTTTACTATGCATTATGTATTTGTATAGGTGCTCTTCCTTTTCTAGGGAAACACTAATATTATATGCAAATCTCATCTCTTTGTGCATTTATTTCAGTGATGTGGAACCTGTTGGACTTGTTGATGTGCCCCACTTGATGTCACAGACGGTTTATATATCATTGCTTCATGTCATATGTGTTGTTGGCATAGAGGGGCAGGTGCTCGCCGCGTGTTTACACACTTTCCATGACGTTCTCAGTGCTCAATTGAACATAATACCCAGCACTCCATGCAATGGTGTATATTTTTCTCCCTTTTCTTAGCTTTTCTGCTTTCTTGTAATCCTCTTTAGTCTGTAAAGGATGATGTGTATGCAATACATACATACATACACTATGGCTTCATATTCTTAAGCAAGCTGAGAGCACACCCACTAGACTGAAGGTTGCCCAAGAGGCCGGATTGCTTTTTTTACTCCCCAACAGTTCATTGGTACAGTTAAGGTTTTCTCAGAAAGAGGCAGGTAGTTGCCGGTAAGCCCTAACGTAACTGGCGCTGTAGTTGGCAAAGTCAATTAAGTGACTGTTTGTCTGTTTAGAGTGAATTCACTGTCTCATTTACTTGTCTAAATGGTGCGTTGACAAAACCCACTGCATTTCAGCGCTTTAACTTGCCACAGACCCTGGCTTCCTGTTTGTCAGCTGGATTGTCTCGGATAAAAATGCTTGACAAGGGTTATGGCTCCATATGCACAAAGATAGGGTGAAGAAACCTAATGGCAGATTGACATTAATTTGGTATCTTGGTCTCTTCAATAGGGGTGTTTGACACAGAGGATTCATTCTCATGTTGTCCCAATCCTATAAGACTTTCTTTCTTCTGTGGAACGTAAAAGATATTTAGAAAAATGTGTTGCTGTTTATTTGTGCAATTCATTGTGGTTTTGGAACCCATTGAGTTTCATTGTATGGTCAAAAACACTTCTTCAGTTCTTCAAAATATATATTTTTTGTGTTCCGCAGAAGAAATTCATACAGGTTTGAAACAAAATAAGGGTGAGTAAATGATGACAGCATTTTCATTTTTGGGTGAACTAACACTTTAATGCTGAAATATTGGAATACAGCCGAACCAAGCAGCAGAGTCACATTTTGTACTTTCCCTTTGGTTGTAAGAATGTGGTGATGTAGAAATCAGTGGTAGGGCCTCTGATGAATTGGAAGTGTTTCTTGTCGGTGTTCTTTTCTACAGTGCAATCAGGTGGGGCGGCTCTTCCAGTTTTATAACGCATGGCCTTTTTCATGCCTCATATCAAACATAAAGCCTGCTTTATGGGGTGTCATATAGCCTCTAGGGCCACTCCCATTTCACCTTCTCAAATATAAAAGCTCTGGCACCACTCAAAACAAGAACTACAGAGAGATCTAGTCAGTTGGTATGGATTTAGCTTTTGCTCTCCTTGAAACATCTCGTCTTGAAAGAGTATTTCATTTGGGTAAAATTCCCAGAGCCTGCTTTACTCTTGCCACGTCTACATCGAGCAGATGAAAACCTTTACTCTCTTACCCAGTCTTGGGTTACCCGTCTCACATAGCTCAAGGTGTAGTCTGATTGCTACTTTGTCTAGGTTTCCCCTCCCCCACTGCACTCGCTAGCCAATCAAACAGCTTGAGCTCACCTGAACACGTTTGCATATTAGCTCTGCCCTTGCAGCTGATTGGCCCCATGCTGAAGTTCTGTTTTACAGCCTGTCTGTCAGTGGTTACTTGGGGGATGAGTCACAGTGAGAGAGATTTGCTTTGCAGTACTTCTCTTTTTTAAAGATTTCAACTCGCTGCCATTGCCCTCCCCTACTCTGTTCTCATTTTCGCTCTATCTACCACTAAAGTGAGTGGGAGAGGCAGAGGGCAGGTCAGTGTTCAACACCTTGAACATGCCATGAAGGAGGGGTGGACCAAACTGATATAGCTGGTCTAGCGTGGAGAACAGAAGAGGGCTGGGCTGTCATAGCATTGTCTGATGGTTTGAGAGCTGTTGCTGAGACTCATATGGCAGACTATAGTTTGTTATCTTTTAGTTCTTTCAATGATTAAGTTTTTGAAATTAGTTTTAACATGGTAGATTGAAGAACCTGCTGGATTGGTTGCTAACTGGAGGTTTTGAGGACATCTCTGAGGTTTCTTTGTCCATGGCACGTCATATTTGCCCTTTGAGGATTCTTGAACTAAGTTTTTAGAGAGATCTTAGCACTATGATCTTTGAGAAAGTGCAGTTATCGTCATTGAGCTAGTTTGTCAATATAACAATACTCTAAGAAATGTTCGTCTACCTGACTGAAGCTGACTTCATTTGAAATATAATCTAATGTGACCAGTATGCAAAAAACCCAAACTATTTATAAGTGAAAAGTTTCATGAGATCACCATATGAGATAACAATGATTTCGCCGTTGGGTATGTTTGAATTTTTACTTAAAGCAGTTGTGTTCTTCTAAAATAGCCCAGGTAGTCATTCCTTTGTCGATATGTTGTTGATTGCTCGGGCAGATTTGCATCACGTTTTCATATAGCTCTCCCCATTTCCATTGAGCAACACACATTCTCAGTGTCGAAACTGTCTTGATTCCTGAAACAAGCTCAGACTGGCATGCCTTGGTTTGTTCAACACCTTGAACATGCCATTCGATTCGGTTTAGACACACCCTTGGATTATAATTTTTTTTTTTTTACTCCTGTCAACATAATCTATCTCTCTTTTTTTAAGATTATTTCTTTTTATCTCATATTTTTTCAAGACTTTGATAAGTTTTCCACCATAACCATGGAGTTTGACATGAAACCCCTGAACCTTTAAGGTTAGTGACCATTTTGTATTTTTTTGATGTGATAGTATGCACTTGTAGATCTGCTAGCACCAAGTATCTGTTGTCTGCATTCTTAACTTTGTAAGCATTATTTGTTGTTTATTACATATATACCCGCATATGCAACATAGATTGTGTTTATTATGAAGTTACATTGTCTGATTTTTTTTAGGTCAACATTTAACCGCAGTATTTATATACAGCCTATATTACGATACAGCTAAGCAGTTAAATATCTGTGCGTTTGGTATACATTTAATAATCATCCAATGGGTCGCATAATTGACAATTATATAATAAATTGCTGCAGATGTGTTCAAAAACAGGTTTAGCGCCATTTTTGCACCGTTTTGCAGTCATACAAATCTAACAAAATGTATTTATTATATAATGTGTGGTATTTAAAAGTTTATAGTCACATGTTTTGCAAAGTATCATTGCCTTATATGGGTACCGAGAATGAGGTAGGCAATCATGTTTTGTAAGTCTATTGACCAAGCCCATACGACGGTTAGAGTGGGTTGCAGTGTCAAATTAATCTTTTCGATTACATCTTTGCCTGTTTTAGCTATATGCTTACAAAGTTGCCAACGACGCACAATGCATACAAATAACCTTAGCGCCAATGTGCTTTTTGTTCACGTAAGTGATGGTTTTGCTGTTATAGTGTGTCATTGATTCCATTACGTGGGCTTGTAGATTTCAGTTTGATTTTAGACTGGCTTATCAGGCCTCATCATTGCCATCAAACCTGGTCTGAATGTTACTCCATTTCCATTGAGCAACACACATTCTCAGTGTCGAAACTGTCTTGATTCCTGAAACAAGCTCAGACTGGCATGCCTTGGTTTTCAGGTACTAGATATAGGCTACTGGCAGATTCGCTATCACAGATGATTACATAATAGATTATTCAGTATCAACTTGAAGAAAATGAGAGAATATTGAGCAATTCAGTTATTTTGTATTTGAGCCAAGCAAAGAACTAGAGATAATATTTTTTTTTGTCCAAAACATATATAACATCATGGTTTAAGAAAGAAAGCGGAACAAATGGTCAGTCAGTTTAGCCAAAAGAAACACATGGTCTTGGTATAATAAGGAAGAGTGGCCTGCAATCTCTTCTTGGAAATGCCCTTTTGTTGAAGTTGATGACTCCCACCCACCTGCTACCCCCGTTTTGTTTTTGTCTCCAGCTTTGGTGGGCGATGTTCCACTGAAACTACCCACTGAATGGGTTCTTTCTGTTGTTCTAGAGTTGAGACTGGCCATTTACATCCTATTTCTCAGTGCATAGACTATACCAGGTTTTACTTTGGTCATAAAATATAACCAAATAGTAGATGCCTTTATAGTAAGAACATTAATTGATTGAGAATCTAGAAGGCATTTCTACAGAAACTTCAGAAACTTTCAGATCCACATAGATGCCAACAGAAGAGAATTTCTAAAGTTGAGGACTTCGTTGAAAATATTGTTGAAAGTTAGAATGACTAAATGTTTTTTTTTTATCATCAAATGTGTCTTTTTATTATTCAAGCATGTTGGCGTCAAAAAATGAATATCACTTCACTCATTATCATTGTTGTATCTCACCAGAGATGAGCTACACGTCACATGTTCACAGATGACTGATATCAGACCGCTTCCCATGTAAAACACACGACTTAGTCTTTTTGCTTAGATTGTATTCACTAAATTAGTCACAAAAACATCACATAGTCAAGCATTTCATGACAAAGGGCTACAAAATAACTAAACAACCAAAAGCACCCATTTAAAGACTGTATTGAAATCAATCTTATGAAACCATTCATTGCAAACACCGTGTTTTCCAGAACTCCTTTCTTTTGTTAAAGCAGTTGCAAGTTCCTCTTTTGATAGAAGGGCCTCTGTCTGTTTGTAACCTGCTGTACCGCCACTCTTGAGTCAATTCAGCTGCCTGACGTTCTCATTTAAGAGGAATTCCAGACTCAAAGCGACATGGTTGACATATTCCCATTTGCGCCATGCAATAAAAACGTTTACTGCTGACACCAGTTTAGTGTTGAGTATCGGACTCCTGGATGCTTGGGCCCAGACATTCAGTTTGAATAGTTGTTTTCATCTAGAGCTTTAGTTGCACAGGTGTATGTATGCATGTATGTGTGTGTTGCTAACAAGTACTTAGGAGATCGACCAGATGAGGACAAGTGCTTCCAGACATTCAGTTTGAATAGTTGTTTTCATCTAGAGCTTTAGTTGCACAGGTGTATGTATGTATGTGTGTGTTGCTAACAAGTACTTAGGAGATCGACCAGATGAGGACAAGTGCTTACCTCCCATAACTACAGAGAAGGGGCAGCCCCTGAGTCTAATTTTCTAGTCTGTCTTGTAAACAACGAATACACAGGTCAGACATGTGACTGGTTATCGTCATGGCAATTCAGTGCTTTTCATAGGAACAGCTCAGGGCAGATACCAGCCTTGAAATGCAATTACATGCAATTCAGGCTCACAAAGACTCCGAAAACAAAGAGCTCCACAGTTTAAAAGTTGTGAATAGAAGCGACCATTTCGCAAGCTCTAAAGCAACACGTGTGGTGACCAGCTAAGCGAGTATCTAGCATTTTAGAGAAACGCATGCAGGCTTTGAACAAGCTGTGGGCGGTTGCGTTTGACAGAACATTAAACCACAAGTCACAGCTCTAAAAAGACTTGCTAATGAAAATGTGTTCGTTTCTGATGGTTTAATGTGAGGCTTTTTTTCCTGAGTTTTAAAATTAGGATCTGTGGTCATGATATGAACTATGGTTCGTGTGTACAGCATCGTATCATCAATGAATGATGCTCAAGCTGTTGGAAATGTCCAAGCACAGATATTTGTATACATTTTATATTTTCTTTAGGAGATTCTAACTAAATAATAAAAAAAAAGGCATCTTTGAGGCTAGTTTATTGATACAACATTTAAATGACAATGGCTAAGGTTCATGAAAGTTGGTGGTGCAGTGTAATTGGATGGTTAATAGGTCCAAATGTGTCCAGTTTAGGAACACAGCATCCTCAGTTAGTCACCCTTTACATCAGCCAGAGGAAAGTTTACTCACAAATTCTGTAGTTACATCACAAACTATGGGGGTGACTAAATAATTTTTTGTAAGCTGCCTAAAATAATCCCTTAAAAACCTGAATATGTGTTTAACTGAGTGGGGTTGGAAGGTGTTTGCAGTAGTATCATATTTTAGCTGTGGAAAATTGAAATCCCAGAACCCTGGAGACCCATGGAAACTCTACAGACCTGAGGGTGTCGTTTACCACCCCCACATCCAAAAAGTTGTGTTTACAGCATTAATTTAAGGGCAGTTATTGTTTAAAGGTTTTTAGTATTATAAAAATTATTTTTTTTGTGACTTGTCCTTGTATACGTGTATATATTTCCTATTAGTGTAGTGTTAAAACAGTTCAATCCAGAACTTTTGAGATGACTGTATAACGTAAAACTCATGGAAGTTCTGTATGGCCAGTCATTTGGACACTTTTAAAAAAATAATTTGCTCTTTTGTAAGATCTTAAATTAAAAGGCTCTTTGCCATATGACAGGGGGATTGCTATGAGGATGCCAGTTTGTTTCAGTTCAGGCCACATTTTGACCTAATTGTTTGAAAAATAACACTATTCACTGGTTACTGTCAGTTGAAATGGAAACTTATTTGGTATGATATTCAAAATAACCTTCTGGCAGAAGCGTTTGAAATTGTAGTTTGTTAAAATAAACTGATAATTATTTAAAATTACAAGACATTAATAGAGAAGTCGTTTGATGTGCTAATTAATACACGTATATTAGATCCTTTCTATTTCAGTAGACTAATAATTATTTGTTTTTATGTTCACAATTTATGTACACACTTAAAAATGTTATACACTTTATATCTTGTTTTCTGGCTTTATTTTTCATGCTTAAATGTCAACTACTCTTCACAAAATAATGTTCTTTTTAGCAACATCATATGACCCCTTTAAGAAAATTATTGATGTATGTACTATATCTCATAACATTGAGAACACAATTCTGGTTCAGCACCTGAAAATGTGACTTTTGCAACAGTAGCTGGAGAGTTGGATCATGGGTTGAAAAATTATATGCAATTAGGCTGCAGTCAGTAGTTGGTAAAAAGAGAGGCCCTCCTGTATACCCTCCCCATGGGTTTTATTAGCCAGCATGGATCTGAAAGCTGTCTAAACATATCACTTACAGTACTGTGGACTCATCAGCCACTCGCAGAATAATAACAGCTTGTATTACCACGTTTAGAGTGAATGGACTTATGAACAATACCACAACATATTGGTAAGAGTAGTAAGTTTGGAAGTTTAATAAACCAGTGCCTTTTTGTAGATAAGATGTGAATCGTCTGGTTGGATTATGTGTTAATTTCAGCTCTGGGTATATACTGGGTCTCATTTCATAATGAAGAGTCTGTTAAGTCCCAGTTATTTCTTAACGTGCTTATTACTGAATATAGCTTGACTTTTTTACTTAGTCTGCAGCTTTATCCCATTTAACTGATATGTAATCACTTTATGGAAATGTAAGTGACCTCCTTTCATGTTGCAGCCATCTTACATATTGTCATAGTCGAGACCACATGACCTGACTAGAAATGAAAACTACGCCACATATTGCACACGGCCCCTGCAGCTCCACAGGGCCAAAGGCAGACCTTACATAACTTATGATAAATGCTATGAATGTCAGTTATTTTGGGCCAATTATGTGAGCTATAAAGTATTTTATGATGCATTATATTTGAGGAGTGCCAGCCCCTCAGCTAGGAGTGTATGACTTAGTATGACTAGTTTTAGAGCCTGATGGTTATATCAGACAGATATGGGTTGCTCCAATTACATGTTAATTCAGGTGTATTTAGGAAAATGACGTCAATCAGTTTTAGATGCAAGTTCTTAGGTGTGATTTTGTGTGTGTGTGTGTGTGTGTGTGTGTGTGT